TTCTTTCTCATCTAGCTTACTATGATATCCTTGAAGGGCACACTATCATGACTAGATGAACATATACCTAGTGCTAAAATTTGTATGTTGATTCTCAATCTCTATTTCTGGAGGCGAGAATAGTCAATCAGAATAGACAACGATACCTGTCTACCCCATTCACATCCAGAACCACCCAACCTAGATTCCACCAGATGCTGTTTCACACTGGACTGAACATGGCAACATATCTAGCTCATCCACAATCATGAAAGGAGAGAACCACAGATTCCTTCACGATAAACGAATTTAACATATCAGCTTTTACCCAAAAAAAGTGTACATTGGTTGATTAGCAAAATTTTAATATCAAAGCAAGATTCACATGTTTCTGGCAACACTATGCACAATTTATTCACTTTTGCTGAATAAATTTATGTGAAGAAGTAGAAGAAACTTGGAGCTTCCTTAAACCCTAATTTCTTGGAAGGATTCAAGACTTAACAATGTAATCCAGTGGTATCTACCTTTAAGTAATCTAGTTTTTCAATGACACCAAGGTAAGTACCAGGAAATTCTGTTCCACTTGACTCATGCCTTGTAAATCCTCGAACATGCATTTCATATATTACCAGATCTCTCTGAGGAAACTTCAGGGGTAAATCACCTTCCCAATCAAACTGAAAAAACAATTTTCAGATAAATGTCAACATCAAAATGAAACCAGTTCTTTCTGATATAGAAGACAACATAAGGAAATAAAGAGAAGAAGGAAAAATGGGATAAAGGAAATCTGCCTATAAAATTTCGATTGCAGAGCAAACAATTTGCTGTCTCAATCCCATCTAAAACAAGAAAAGACGAAAAAGAAGCAAACACTCACAGAAGAGAGTAGGAAAAACGCAAACAAAATAATATAAAGTCCTGAAATCAAACTATGGGCACTTGGGGAAAAACCAAATCATGACCTTTGGCGCACACCCTCAATCCTCCAATTTCTGACTTCCACCAAGAGTAGTTGAGAGCATAGGATACGCAAAAAGAGTTTAAGAGTAAATAGACTAGTTGTTACCATAGTGTGATACTTAAAGGGAAGGGCAATACTAAACCTACTCCATCAGAAAACCACAAACATTTTCTGATTTGACCCAAAGAATAATGGTTCAAATGTTTGAAGGATATGAAGAGGGAAGAGCCCTTTCCACCTTCTGTGGAGTGTAATGCACCTGCACTTTGGTGAATCAAATACACATTTTGGTGATTATGTTGCGCAAAATTGGCATGTATGCTTTTTCTTTCAATCTGTTCTTCTTAGTCAATGAAACAACTACATGAAACTGACTTATATCTTGGAACACTGGTTTCTCTGGTTGTCTGATTATAATCTTAAACAAAAACATGGGAACAAAAATATATGAGCTGTAAAGTTGACATCTGCATTCCTTATTTGCTATCCCCCGCCTCCACTTCTTTTCTCGTTCCTGTTACTATTCCCCCTATAATCTCTTCCTTATTTATTATTTTGAATTTCTCATCAAACTGGGAGTCTTTTGATGTACAAATTACTCATTGCTTCTTTTTGAAGATTGCCATGAACTTTGTGGCATTAGACTTGGAATATTTACTAGCATTTATAAGTATAATTTATGACTAAACATGTGGAATTTAAGTGAAAGCCCTTTTTTATGTAGAATTGCACAATACTATGGAAAATACACCATTTTGAGCTAATTGGAAATAAGCTTCAAGAAACGCATCTAAAAGACCTTGCACTTTGTCACACCTTGCTCTTCTAAATATCGTGAAAAACGCTTCATAGATAAAGGAATGAATCTTCAACATCATGGTAATAATACAGTTTGCGTCCTATAACCATAATTACGCAGCTCAGGTTGCAAGATACAGAACTGGTCAGTTAATTACATTCAGTAGTATAACCAAAGTTGCAGGGTTAATAAACATCCTCGGGTGTTGCCTATCTAAGTCATATCATTACAAGTACAAACTAACTACCTTGTCAGTAAGAGAAGGCACCATGCAGGCCATTGGTGGCCAACATTCATCCTCAAGTCCAAGAGCACCATAGTCCCCTCTACTTACAACAGCCTGAAATGAAATTGAAAGCCACTCAGCAAAACATTAGCACAAATGCCAACAAAACATTAGCACCATATTCCACTCAAAGAAAAAATCATAGACAAAGCTATCTTATGTACCATGAAAGCAAAGTGCAATAACCATATCCACATTCGCCGCAAACTAACCTTAGCATATGGATCCACTAATATTTGAGAAGAATCAAAGTAATGTCCTTCTTGAGGAGAAAATTTCCCATCAAATCTGTAACCATAGAGCATGTCTTGAAAATCTCCCTTCAAGAACACATGCCAGACATCTCCAGTCCTATTCGTTATCGGACTCAAAAAGATTTGCTCAGTAACTCTTTTCTGCAACAGATACAGTAATCCAAGTTGCAATACCCAGCAGCATATAATTTAGAAACTATAAATAATCAAGTGCAGCATCTAATAAACATAATTCACCAAAAAAAAAAAAACAGAGACAATTCTAAGAATATAAAATGAGCAAATTAATTCAATAAACACAGCCATAATTGCAACAATTGGAAGAATTACCTCAGGCAGATCAGAGAGACGAATCAAGCAAAGTGTAGCTGACGTGGCACTGCCAGAAGCAACCGCAAAATTCACACCACCATCCCGAGAAGTGGCACCAAACGGCAACGGATAGCCATCAAACACCTCAAAAAGACTCGGTTTTGCCGGAGGCTTCTCCACCACAACGGCAGTATCCGCTCCAGTCTCTAAACCACCGCCATCACCACTCCTCGCATTAACCACAACCCCTGCAGAACACCTTCCCGCATTTTTGTCCAAAATTTTCCCCAAAATACTACCCAAATTCACCGAATTTAATCTCTTTCCGAACAAATTCGCGCAATTCTTCGAGGCGTTCGTGAATTTTGGGGTGCAATTGTGAACTGGGATTGCTGAAGGGCAATGGAGTAGCTCCATTCTGAGAATTTCAGTGATGCTTGAATTCGTGGTGGAATTTCAGAGTAGAATGCGAAATGCAGAAATGGTGTATTTGTCTGAAGTGAGAGTGATGATACAGTACCGTTGAGATGGGAAAATGGCGTCTTTTTCAGTAACTGTAAATTGAAAGGATTGGATCACGTGCCAAAATCATTAGATCTCTGACTCTGACGTTTTTTCATTTGATTGATGGATGGCTCCGTTTTGGATTTCTCTATGGTGCAAAACTGAGTCAGCTTTGTACGGTAGGAAGAACGAAAGGAACGAGGACAGCACATGACCATGAGCCAAGCAATGGACGGCTGTGGGAAACGGGAGTCCTAAACATGGGACCCACTATATCATGCAAACTATGGCTCCGTCTAGACTATTAATTGTTTTTTAGGGTATTTTTAAAATATTTTATTATAACAATTTATATGAAAAACTATTTATTATAAATATTTTACAAAAGAGATTATATATGGCAATGATACATAAATTAGTCTAAAAAAATCATATGTATGATCACAAATCAAGATTATTAAGCTCTAAATGTTTACCTAAAGAAAGAGTTATGCTGATTTAAACTGCATTGTTAGTTGATGCAGGTGAGTGAATATATACATAATTGACATAATGGCTTTTCAACAAGAATCGAAATTTTAGATAAGTAATCATAAATATAATTAACATAGTATTTAAAGTAATCAAAATTCGTGATTGTGGATAAGTAATCACAAATTTAATTAACATAGTGAATTTCATTCACAAACATAATTACGCAGTTGACATAATGATTTTTAAGCCGATATTGAAAATCAATCTGGAGTCCAATGTACACCTTGCAATGGCAATTGTCCAATTCCAATTTAATTAAGACTGTTACAATTGTTTGATCACTATTGTAAACAAAACTACACTTGTAATTGTTACTTATCAACAGTTTTAATCTCAACTCCTAATTGAGTGACAACATCTCACCTTCATGATGAATAACATCTTAAGCATGTTTTGTCTCGCACGTGTATTAAACATATCCAATCTCTCTTCCGGTTTCAAGTTCATTATGTCAATTGGATTTATCATTAGTCATCTATCATTTTTGGCTCAGATTGAAAGGGACATTTTACATTCTCCCTCAAACATATATTCAAGTTCTCTATGTCAATTGTGTTTATGATCATGCACCCACAATTTTAGTTTTGTTTTTAAAACAAATTTTTCAATTATATTTGCGATTACTCATCTACAATATTGATTTTGGTTTCAAAGCCATGAAATGAATTGCGATTGTGATACATCTTGTAGAATCATAATTCTTGGAGTACAATGTTGATTATAATTTTAGTTTCTTGGTGTCTAATTTAATAATGGAATGAAGATTGTATTTTTTTAAATTGAAATCAATGTAATCACACAAAACTCTAGAACTATAGTTTTGTACAACCGAAAATTATGCATGAATATGAGTAAATGTGAGTTAGAAGCGCAATAAATTTTGGCAAATGGCACAATGGTGAATTGTTATGTCCAGACCAAAAGGCACATTGAATGAATTTCCCGAATGGAGATGAGGAGTGGTAATAGATATAATTACGCCGATTGTAAAGCATGTAGTAAATGTAGTAATAAATAAAATTGTGCTGAGTATTGTTCAAGAAATTTAAAGTCTTCCTGTCTCCTCATTTAATTTGAAAATATGCATGATAAAGTAAATGTGAATGAATGATAAATAAATTCAGTTAGAGGGGCAAAAAGATGAAAATTTATGTGTGAAGGAAAGTCCCAAATAAATTAATATCCCCAAACAGGAAAAAGTGGGGGACTTATGCTAGAATTGGTTAGTCATCTAAATTGAAGCCGATAGTAAATAAATTATTAAAGACCATGCGTTAATGATAGGGTAAAAAAAAAACCGACAACAAGGTGCAGTGACATTTTCTTCCACTATAAATTGTAGTTGTTACTAGGAAGAAGGCAAGCATGGGAGGTTATCAATCTGAGATCGATACTGGTAGTGATGGATTGGCAATGGAGTTGGCGAACGCACTGTGGAAGAGTCTAAAGAGAGGTAACTAGCAAATGCATTTGATGTCTTTTTTTTATTTGTGCATTCATGCTTTCTTTTATGTAACATAGTGCTGAGTTTTGTTTTTTTAATTTAGTATTTGAAGCTGATTACAAGAAGTCAACATATTGTGAAAACTAGAGCAGTGGGTTTTGTTAAGTCCAATTTTATATGATATATAAAATAATAGCGTATCAAAATCATTAGGTGTCTACCTCTCTGACGTTTTTCTATTTGATTGATTGATGGCTCCGTTTTGGATTGCTCTATGGTGCAAAGCTGAGTCAGCTTTGTACGGTAGGAAGAACGAAAGGGACGAGGACAACACATGACCATAAGCCAGGCAAGAGACAACTGAGAGAAATAGCTACCGAAGACCGGGAAGAAGGAGTTCTAAACATAGGACCCACTATATCATGCGAACTATGGTTCCGTCTAGATTATTAGCTGTTTTTTGGGGTATTTTAAAAATATTTTACTCTAATAATATGCATGAAAACTGTTTGTTGTAAATATTTTTTGAGATATTTTTAAAGGTGTTTTTGGAATATATTTTGGGATATTTTTAAAGTTTAAAAACATTTTAGAATATTTTTTAAAAATTAACACTACCACCCATCAACTCCTCCTTCCTCCTCTCTCTTCCTCTTCCTCTCCTCCCTCTTCCTTCCTACTTCCGTTTCCCGCCCCTCTACCCTTCCTTTTTCCTGCCATACCCCGTTCCTCCTCTCCCCGATCTATCCTCGACTAGATCGAGGCCTCTGGTTAGGGAAGGAGGGGAGGAGGAAAGAGAGAGAGGAGGAAGGGAAAGCGAGAGGAAAGAGGAGGAAAGAAAATAAGGAGGAAGAAGGAAGGAAAGGAAAGGAAAGAGGAGGAAGGAAGAGGACGGTGGCTATGGTGGGTGGCGTTGGGGGTGGTGTGTGGTGGTGATAGATGGAAAAAGAAGATGGTGTAGATTTTATTTTTCAATTTTTTTGTATATTTGGAATTGTTTTTAATATATTGTATGGATGTGGTGTTTTTGAAATTATTTTATTTGTGCACTACTATAGTATTGTACACGTGAAACTTGTTATTCAAAAAATGGGGAATCCAAACAGAGTCATTGTAAATGAATATACATCCTCGGACAAGTTGCGGGCGTGTTCTATGAACCCAAAAAATGAGGGACGCACGGGAGTAGACGCTGGATGGCAAATTGGCGCGAAGAGGAGTAAAAAATAGTGGGAAGAATAGAAAAAATAGGACCGAATTTGTTCAACAAAAAACCAAATCAAAATTATGTGTGGGAGTTATCAATCTGAGATCGACGCTGGTAGTGATGAATTGGCAATGGACTCGGAGAACTCACTATGGAAGAGTCTAAAGAGAGGTAACTAGCAAACACATTTGATGTCTTTTTCTTGTGTGTTCAAGCTTTCTTTTATGTAACATAGTGCTAAGTTTTGTTTTTTTTTTTAATTTAGTATTTGGAGCTGATTACAAGAAGTCAGTATATTGTGAAAACTAGAGCAGTGGGTTATGTTAAGTTCAATTTTGTATGATATATAAAATAATAGCATGCTTAGTTGCTTTTTTTTTTTTGGTGTGCATTCCCGCTTTCTTGTATGTTACATAATCCAACAAAATTTAGGTTGTATTTGGATCACAATTTTCTAGAGTTTTTGTAGAAAATAAAGTATAGCAATTTGATGTATGTGAAATAAAAGGTGATTGCGAAATGTGTTCAATGAAAAAGTAGAGATTTTTTGGTAGAAAATCCCTTTTCAAACAAGGCTTTAGAATTTGAAGCTAACTAGGTACATTGTGAAAACTCTAGCAGTGGGTTACGTTAAGTTCAATTTTGTTTGATATATAAAATAATATTGGGCTTACTCGTGCATTGGAGGGTTGAAGCACTATCGTAGTGGGCCAGAGAAGTATGGGAAAAAAAAACTGTCCAAGGGTGGACCCAAGTCTCCATAACAACTAAAATTTGGAATAAAATAATAAGTATTTTTTTATCTATTATTTTTTGTTCACCTTAGCTCTTAAAAAAAATTAGAGAGAAATACCTTATTCTATCCACGAGATATCAACAACTTTATCCATTCAACAATATATAGTATTTCATCCATTCAATAATTATCTTTTCAACAACATATTATACATGCAGACTAGATTATAATTATCTATTTTTAGTGGATCTACCCATCCTAACGATAAGTTTCTTTGACCTATGGTACCTTAATAACATTTATTCACTTCATTATGCATGTTGATTTCTACGAAACTTACATTTTATCCACAAATGTTTCCTCATCTACTGAGATTGCTTATTTTCTTTGTTGTTCTAGGAGTTCATGCTTTCTATTGCAACATGAAATTGCTCCTCACTACACACCATCTACATTTGACAGACGATTCCCTTCATCAAATCTATCAACATTGCAGTGCCATTGCTTTCTTTTGCTATTATATCATTCACCCTCTTTCTATCACCGCCATGGGTCTTCTTTTATTATCGTAGTAACCCTAGATTACTTTGTGAACATTTGGCAACTTGTATTAGGGGTTTTGATTTTTAGTACCTTGAATTTAGCATTACATTGGTGCCCATCATATTCTTGTATTTGACAGTGCAATCCTTCATATTATTTTATAGGTACTTAAACGTACGCTTTTGTATATGCTGATTATCTAGCCTCACTGATGTCCTAGAATCAATTAAGGTGGCCCTATGCTGAGTTGTCAACCTTCTATTGGTTCTATCCATTATAAGCAGAAGATTCTTTCTTTGCATAGTAGAAGCATCCCTCCGTTTAGCGCCCGTGTTTGTTTGTCCGTTTGTGTTAGACAAAATATTATTTTTTCAAACTTTAGGCTTTGTTTGGAAGTCTTATTTTTGGCCTATTATTAATGAACAAAATTTTTACAACTTTAATCTACAATAATCTTTTAAAAACATTTCAAATTTTTATAATACATATTCCAAAATATCTAAAGACACAAAATGTTTTTTCTTTATTTCCTTTCTTCTTCTTCTTCCTCTTTTTTTTCCTCTCCCTCCATCCCTTTTTCTTCATTTCCCTCCCTCTCTTCTCTTCTTCTCCTCCCTCATTTCCCTTCTTCTTGGAAAGGAGGAGAGGGCAGGGAGAGAGAGAGAGAGGGTAATGTAGCAGTAGTCTGTGGTTGACTATGGGTAGGGATAGAGGAGGAAGAGCAGCGATGGTGAGGGGAGAAAGAAGAAGAAGGAAAGAAGGGGAAAAAAGAAAGAAAATGAAAAGGAAAAAGAAAATAAGAATTTTTTCCAAATCTTTTAGATATACAAGAATTTTTCTACAAATTCTATAATAAGTTACAGTAAAATTTTAAACAAACACTCAAAAAACACACCATCCCAACAAACCCTTAGTTACAATAACTTGCTAAAACATGGTGATACTTTTGCACTTCATGACCTGAGAAAGTTGTTGATGTAGTTTAATCTTAGTTTGGTTTGGATTTCTTTGATAAACAGAATCTTGGACTTAGGATTTGTGTTCTTGAGCTTTGAAGCTTTAATTTATTTGAATCTAGTGGTTTGGGGCTTGGTTTTGATGTTTCAAGTCATGTTTAAATGTCGTGGGTAGTCGAATCTTGTAGGAATAATGAGGAAAAATTGAAGATAGCTATCTTCCGATTAGTTTCCCACCATTTTGGCCAGAAAATTTGTGTAATCTAGCAAGATCTCTCACATTTGTCTTGGACTGATTTATTTCTTGATTTGAGTCAGGTTGATGCTGTATATTTGCATCAACCTAGTTCAAACTCCCTTTTTTTGGTTAATTACATCCACCTCCTTTATGTTTCAGCCAAACTATACTAGACCTCTTGTGATTTCAAATATTACAGCGTACATCCTTTGATTTGATAGTACACAACAAAAAGCCCCTTGACATTACTAAACTAATATCTGTTACTATCATTAAGCTAGCAAATTGAGTGAAAGCCTAAAGTTGTCCCTAGAAACTATTTTATTTTAAACTTTTAAAAATTATTAAGGAGAAAAAAGTATGATAAAAAATTAAGGGGAAAAAAATGAAAAACTCATGCTTTTCACAACTCTTAACCACTGTCATCATTTTCCTAAAACACTAGATGTTCTGCCAACTCCACCAGCACCAGATTTCAAGTTCCAAACACCTCAAGGCCAATATCCTTACAACCACACCACTCCTTAGTTACACTACCACTAAACCACAACTATGGCTCCAGATTTGATTTCACAATTTTCCCCCATATAGGCCAAAAGGTTGTAGACTAACAATTCAAATCCACTAATTCTATAACCAAATCATCCTTCGCTTGTCTCATCCTGACCACTTTTTCTTCCTTATTCTCTTGAACTTTTCCTTAATGGTAAGGGTACTTCTTGTTAGCATCTTTCGAAAAAACATACAACATGCAAGGCTCTTTCAATTAACATAAAGCACAAGAAGCCCAACTCACTCAAGTTTGCAAGTACACAGAAATTAGTAGTGTTATCGAAAGTGGTGTCGGACCGCCGATGAGGTATAGGGCTATTCATTTTCCCTATCTTGGGTGGTTTGACATGTAATTAAGTGTAGGTTTCTCAAGTAGGCTGTTTAACTTCTTTCTTTGTTACTATAGGAGGCAATAGGGGAATGGTTTGGATGGTTGAAACGAGCAGTGGAACCGGTTTGGGAGATTTTGAGAAGATGAGAACCTCTTGCAAGTGCTCTTTGGCAGTGGGCTTCTTTGAGAAGATAATTATTAATTTTATCTTTTTGTCTCTCCAAAATTCAAGTAATTTTTCCAATAACAAATATTTGCTGTTGGTGGCCATAGAAGTAATAGTGGGCAATTGATATCACTTGTACTCCTTGTTTCATTTTTTGTTTTTGCTTAGATTGCCAAAGTTTACTTTAGTAATTGCAGGTTAAGATTTAACACCATTTGAAGTGTGTTAGTGATTGACGAATTTTTGCAAACGAGCAGGGTCAATCGTAGTAATAAATCAC